ATGGGCTACAAGGTTCAATCCTAAGATCTCTACTTTTCAATGTTTTATTAATGACCTGGAAGAAAAGATGGAGGAAACAGTTATAAAATTAACTGATGTCTCAAAACTAGGATCTTGAAAAGTTACAAAAAGTGGCTTAAATAATAGAATGAAATTTAACAGAGTTTTTTACTCAAAAGATCTTCAAAGAGTAGTTGACTACAAACTGAATATAAGTTAATAATGTGATATGAATGCAAAAAAAAAAATGGGGGAATGGGGGAATGTAATTTTAGGCTGTATCAAGAGAAGCATGGTTTACAAATTACAGAAAATAATAGTTTTACTTTATTCTGCATTGGTGAAACCGAAGTATTGTTTCAGTTCTGGATGCTACTTTTTAAGAAGGGTTCAAACAAACCCAAATGAGATTAAGAGGGTAGAAACTAAGTTGTACAAAGAGATATACACAATTCCTCCAGAGATTTATGTCTTGAGAAGACTGACAGGGCTAACACCTTTCAAGTACCTGAAAGGATACCAAGACCTAGTCTCTATTCCAGAGTGTACGACACAGAATAATAGATTTAAGTTACAGAAACATAGATTGCTACTGAATGTTAGAAAAAAGTGATTGTGAGAGGAGTTTAACAGTAGAAACCATAACATGTCTATTAAGGATTGAGGAGCTCTCATTTGCTGGATGTGTTCAGGCAGAAGCTATAAAATCATTATCAGGAATACTTTATTTGGATCTCTGTTCTAAGCAGGGCATGAGCATCTGTGGGTGGAGAGGGGCAAAGGGAAGCAAATGATAATGCCATGTAATGCTAAGACTTAGTCCTTGCATCAGACATTGTGATACAATACATAACTGCAATGTTTGTGTGATGTCACATATGCCATTATTTTAGCATCACTGTGGTTTGTTACAGCACATACACTTACACATACAGCAATCACCCACTGACCCAAATGGCCACATTCAACTATGTTTCTATTATCCTAATAACAGCTACTGTTACACACTTTTATAATCTCACTGATACATCATTTGTTGTTTTTTATAAAGCCAGATTCCAAACCTTGGAACACTCTCATAGATAAGCTGTTGATTTCCTCCCCTCCCTTCACCCCAAGCTTTTTATATTTTCTTACTTAGCCTAAAGTTTTGTGGCTTGTTTTTATCTTTTCAGTCTAAATTCTTCAAGGCTGAAAACAAGTATCAGTGTTCATAAAGAGCCAAATATATAAATACCACACTGAATATACATTAATAGTTGGTTAAAGATTGTGCTATTGTTACCTAATCAGTCTTTAATAAAACATTTGGCCAACAGTTATACAACTGATTAACCAACTTCTTTAATTCAATATTTGTTATTTCCAATCCTCAAAAAGTTGGTTAAGGCTACATGTGTATAGAGCACACTTGTCCCAGTCAAGCTACAAACAATTGAATCAAGGCAGTATGAAAGATTGATTTAGCTAATGTAGTGAAGTATATGTATTTGGGTTGACTTTCCTAAAGTAGGCAAGACAATAAAACAAATAGTAGAAGATGTGAAGTTTCATAAATTGATTATAATTTATAATAATGCTACACCAAAGTGAGATGTTCAGTGATAAACTATTTTAAATGTGTTCACTCTGAACACACATTCACATTATTAGTATGTTGGCACTAGACAGTATTCATTATAAGTAAAAGAACTAATCAAAATAAATATTTGGGGTGCTGAATCCCTTGCACCTAGTATTCTTTGTATCTTTTGATTCTAACATTCAAGTTCCAATCTATACATCCTCATCACACACATCATGAACATGTATAACAAGAATCTGCTCTACTTGTATAGAGTGGCTTCCTACTCTAGATGTTTCCTTTCCATGCACTGGAGGGAAATAAAGGAGTAGTTAGTAAATTATTCCTGCAATCTCTTGTGATGCTAAATAATATTGCACATTAAAATTATAGAGTAAAATTAAAGCTGTCTCAAGTTAGGTAACTGTTTTAACAGATTCTGCAGTACTTCCTATATCAGTATAGCTCTCTACTTTTTAATAACCTCTTTCAACTCTGCCCTGATGAGCTATAATCTTCAGAATTCATTTTTTAAAAAGCTAAAGTCCTGTTTAGGCATTACTGAAATAGATGATTCTGTTAATGTTGCTCTAGTGACACTGGCTTCCTTCAGGCATTTAGGTTCAGCACAAATGTCTGCAGTAGAGAAATTATTTTAGCTCCCATGTAACATTCTGGCTAAAAAGGAAGTCAACACTTGAGTACTATATGTGCACAGGCTTCCTTCCCACAAAAAGCCAATATAGTTTGAGTATTAAATTAAATTAAGTATTAATTATTAAGATGGAGATTATCTAGCATGCTCACGTGTTAATTTCTCCATTTCAGCAACACTTGAACCAAACCACTCAGCTGATTTCTACCCTTTCTAGAAGAAGAGGCATAAAAGAACATGTACTCTTTTGCCCATTTTCTAAGAAAGGGATATTCCTATTTTAAGTGTTCTTAGGCAATTAATGAACCATCCTTACATTAATGGACATCATGCTGTCTGGAGAAGGAGGGTTTTTTTTTAATCTTCCAAATGAACATCTTTGTTACTCCATAAAATGCCATTCAGACATAAACATTTTAGATCTTGCTACATTTGGGCAATAGTACATACCAAAAAGCAAAAAGCAGAGCAAAGACAGAACTTTCTAACTCTGATATTATTTTAATTTCAGGTTTTTTCCCCAAAATTCTAAACTTAGTACTGTACTGTTGGTCTGTTTTTAAAGTGATTATATCACACTGATATAATAGCTGTACTTACACTGATTGGTTACCAAAATAAATAAAAATTTTAAAGTGAGAATTGATCAGATTCTGAGACTATCATAAGTTCTCCATTACTATGGCTGATTAGGAGTTAGATAGAATGGCATTTTGTGTTTCAGCAGCAACTGGCCATACTTCACCAAACTGCAGATCATAGTTAAAAACACCTGTATTTAAATTTCTGGTCATACCTGAAATTTCTTATCTATATGAAAAGCAAGCTGCTATGAATTAAACTATTAAATTAATAAGTTTAAACTATTATTAAACTTTTAAGTTTAGGATGACAAACAGGAACAGCAGAAACATCTTAATTCTTAAATTCCAGCAATATAGTAGACAATTCTTCCACAAGCCTAGTTAGGAGGCATCTGGAACATAGATACTGCTAAGGTGTTAGACAAAAATGCACTCTCACAACCTCTCCCTGATCAAAGATCCTAGAAGGGGCCTTTGATTTACCAAAGAGCTCCAGAAAATGAAATGATAGAAAAGATGTCTGGAGTGCTTGTGGTGGAAAACAATGCCTCCTTGAGGGAAAGTAATACCTGAAGAAGCCATGCCAACTTCATCATATTAGATGACTTTGGTCTAATCTTGAAACTTCCATTTTTATGGAACATCTTGGAGAAGATTGTGGTAATTCAGGGTGAAGAATCCTTAGTGAAACTAATTGGCCAGGTCATTTTCAGTTAGGATTTAGATCCAGGTATGCGACAGAAATGGCACTGGTTGCTTTTGTGAACGATCTCCATAAGAACTTGGACAGCGAGAGTGCAGCTGCCCTTATTCTGTTAAATCTCTCAGCTGTTTTTGATACCACTGATCATGATAACATCTTGGACCACCTATGGGAACTGGGAGTTGGGGCCACTGTATTACAGTGGTTCCTCTCCTTCCCGAGTAAGCAGTATCAGTCAACAGTGCTGGAGAATGAGTGGTTGGGACAGTGGCCTCTTTCATAGGTGCTGCAGGGCTTGGTGCTCTCCCCCATGCTATTTCATATCTACACAAGTTTCTGGGAGACATCATCCATTGGTTTGGGGAGAGGGAAGTATTACCAATGTGCTGTTGATACCCAGTTATACATCTCCATTCAGAGTTGAATAGGAGATGTTGTGTAGGTCCTTACCTGAAGTATGAAGGCTGTAAGACTTTAGATAGGCCAAAAAAAATTGATGTTGACAGCTTCACATCAGAGTCCAGCAGTTATAGTTGGAGGGCTCCCCAACTATCTCTGGGGGAGGCTCAGGTCTATAACTAGAGGTTTTTCCTCAATTCATGGCTCCATCTGGCTCAACAGTGGAAGCCATGACAATGAATGCCTTTACCAGGACCAGCTATGGCCTTTTAGGAGTGGGAAACTCTGACAACAGTCATCTATGCTTTCATTACCTCCAGACTGGATTACTGAAAGGTGCTCTACCTGGGGTTGCCCTTGAAGACTATGTGGAGCCCAGCCATATTCATTGTGCCACTTGATCTTGTCCAAAATGTTGTGTAGCCTTCAGGTACCAAAAGGTTTCTGCTCATGGCTTAAAAGGAATACAACTTTCCTACACAGCCTATGTTGTGAACAGCTATATAAATCCAGATTATTTGCATTTGATGGATAAATCAACTTCAACTCAGTGTCACATTTTGTCACAATAGCAAGATTATTTAATGACTTCAAAAATTTATGTAGGCCCATTGCAGAGAGATACCAAACTAATCAACTGCTCTCCCCCCTGCCCAAAACCTCCCTTGGATTACAAAAAAATAATGTTTCCTTTGTATTTAGTGGCCATCTATGCTGTTATATTTTACCATAAAGGAATGGCTTATAATGTTTATTTTGTAAATTTAAGCATCATTGGATGCAATTAGCAAGTCTCATTTGCTGATGGCTGTGCAAGAAAATCAGCTGGATCACTTTTGCACTTTCCCAGAAATGTAGCATTACCAGATTAAAAAGAAAAAGAATAAACAGGAGCATCACAGGCATCATATTACTTTAGGGCCTACAGGCACTAACCTGGAAACTAGAACTAATGAATGATTTCATATACACTATTTCAGAAACGTATCATAACTGGATCTGAAAAATAGCATATGCCTGAATTCTGCCAAAACTTAATACAGCATATATTATAAAGTCTATAATAAGAATATTTGACTTAAATTGGTATCATACCTAGCTTGCATCCAACCTTTTGGCCAAAGAGGCTTCACCTCTGTCTCCATAAATGTCTTGAGGTAATCTTCTGCAGATTGACTTTTATTTGGCTCTAGCTCATAACAGTCCAGCTTTATCTTGACAAGATTACACAGCAAAGTCCTGTTGAAATAAATCTGACAGGCTTCAGTACAACAAGCATCACTTGTCAAAGTTACTCATTTACCTTTCAGACGTTCTTTAAAAATAGGATTATTCAACAATAACTTTTAACTAACCAACATAGTTACATGGTATTCCACATGATATAATACAACTGTATTTTCAGTTTCTTGTACTCTACCTTATCTTTTCTATAACTTAAAACAGGCATTTCCAGGTTACCCAAGAACACTGCAATTACAGATACTAATTTCACACAATTGAGAATATGTTAAGCGAAACTGTGTAAGAATTACCTTAATACAGAATTGGGTTTAAGAAATGAAGATAAGCAAATGGGGAGTTGAGGATGGAAGGTGAAAGTGAGTTGGAAATTACTTGATTTCTTGAACCACAAAGACAATTCTTTTCATTTGTAAATATAAGCTTATCACAGAAGTGAATATTCAACTTCTCTTCCTTCCACATATCCATAACAGAGCCAGTGGAGAATGTAAAGCAAATACCATGCACATTTCAGATTTCTATAGTCTGCAAAGCAAAATTATTTTCATTTCTTTGACACTCCTTTTAACTTCCCTTCTGATAACCACTCACATAGGAGCTAAGACAAATCAAATACTTAGGATTAGCAGTGCAGAGACCCAAAGAGCATTTACTTAATAAAAGCAAAGATTCTGGGACAAGAATGCCAATATAGCCAAGTACGCAAAGCCTTACACAATGAAAAGTATGGGAAACTATAGAGTGAATATTAGATAGCATCTAGGGAGCAGTACATTATCAAGAAAGATGAGTTCACATTAGCCAAGATTAAAAGTCTTATTTCTCTTATATCTTCATGCAGTTTATTTCCACTCCAGAACTGCATGTATTAGCTATTACAGTTACATTTGTGACCATGCTCTATCTCAGGAAAAAAGTTCAGAACCACTTTTTTCTGACAGGTCTGAAATAAGTTTTATTAGACTGTGCTATGTAATTTAAAATATCTCTAGTGGATTATCAAACAATATAGTATCACACCTCACTGTCTCATCCCAGTGGAATTTTTTTCTTGGACCTGCAATCCTCTTTCCTGGTTTCTCATCATCCTCCTCCTCTGAACCATTCTTGTCTCTCTCATCTTCTGCCTGCATTCTGGAACAAAAAGATAATCACAGTGTTGTAAAGAGTAGAAACACGTATGCTTACTTCCCCATTGCCAGAGAGACTCAGATATCTGCTGGTTGCTTATCTGCAATTGATGCTTTGGAACTCTAGATAGGAAGTTGGTATTTGCATTCTATCTCCTTAAAAAGACACTGAATATCTGTACATATTTTGGAAAGTGAATTGACCAGATTTCCATTCAGTTCATTGGAAGAATTGTGAAAACTACCAGTATGAAATACCTGCATGAGACAAGAAGGATCAGTTGTACGATTGAATAGAAAGCAACTCAAGAATGTCAGGTGCTTTTTGATGGTTTGGTACATTTACAGAACTGATTTAGTGCAAGATTTGTCAGAAGCTTCATCTGCCTATTAAGTTTTACAAAAAATAAGAACAACTACCATCTGTCAGCTAATATGTATGTCAGCAACAAGCCAGAAGGAGTCTGGTAGCAACTTTTCCAACTAACAAAATGCTTGTTAATCAAATTGCTACCAGACTGCTTCTGATTTGTTGCTGCCAGAGACTAACAAGGCTCTCCCCCTACACTGACAGCAACAGAAATGAAACTCGAAGACTTAAAAACAGAAGGCAATTTTAATGGAATGGTCCTTGAGGCATTTCAAATAGATCATTTGCTTGTACCAATGAATCCAGCAACTAGCTGTAGGACTAAGATGGTGGCCACTAATAGTAACCCCTTTCTTACATGCGAGACCCCACCTAAATTGCAACATCACTGTTTGCTGAACTTCAGGCAATAACTTTTCTAATAGAAATTAAGCAACTGTCATGTGCTAAAGATTTTAACTTACAACTTCAATACTAACTGGGCATGCAAGGAAATGTTGGGGGGAAAATGGTAAAGCTAAAATCTAGAATATAGGTATTTAGGTAAATAGAGGCTGTCATGAGCAAGAGGAACAGCATAAAGACAGCTTCCGGAGCTGCTGTTGCTAAGACAGCAATCAGAGGAAAGCCAAGATGAATACATGGGCAGATATTCAGTATTTTTTTGAGAGCAAGGGATATGTCCATCTCATAACATCTCTACTATATTCCCAGAGTTAATGTACTGCAAAAAGCAGAATCTATATAAGATGTAAACAGAGCAACAGCAATCACAAAGTATAATTTCCTCACATCTGCTACTTCATATTTTCTAATAAAAGAGGTCAGTTGCTCTTTTAACAACCCCCCGCCCCCAACTGCTGACATTAGCCAAAGAGTGCTCTGTTTGGTTGGTATACATACTTGGCATTCTTGGCTTGACTATGTGCCTGGCAATCTTCCTGGTATTTGAATAGTTGTTCAGGCATGACACAGCTGACAGCCAACTTCAATTTTTGCAATGGTTCCTTCAAGCGATCATCCTAAAAAGATACTACCATCAAAACAATGATACAAGCAATATAATACATTCACACACTGCTTCCCTGAAGCTGCCTAACCCTTTCTCCCTGAACAACTTTCAGTGTTTTTTATTTTCTGAAATAACTTGGTTCTAAAACAGCTGGAATTTTTTAAAGTCTGATGTCATGAAGAATAAAGTTAGTGTATCATTTCAACAATAAAAATATATGTTTAATTGTTAATATGAGAGGAGAAGCAAGTCTGCAGTAGAAAAACCCTCTTAGGAGATAAGCAAAACTAAATTAAATTAAACTGGCATAATATAAGAGGCTGTCCTATATTGTTCTTTTCAAAACATCTTTATTTTTTTGAAGTATATATGGCTTGGTCACTTACAATGGGTTACAATCTATAAAACAGAATAAAAAATAAAAAAGTAAAATAATAATTTAAAACACCATAGTAATGCAGTTGTACTGGCAGCAAGTCAATTAAAGGACAAAAAGGCATGGTTAGGTTGTTAGGTCTGGAATGCAAGAACAAAGATCCAGACCATGGCAATGATACAAATAACGAGCATTATAATACAGCTAGTACATTCCTGTATTTTATATAAAAGAGTTGTTTTTCACTATTTATCTTCCATAGCCAAGATGGGATTAACTGTATTTGCAAATAACAGAATCCAAGAATGTACACGGAAATCTGAAAATTTAAAAATGCAGAGTGGAAGGACACCTAGAATTCATTTGATGTATTTTGCTTTCCAGAATTGTCTTGGTTTCCTCCAACCTTCTTGGGATTTGGAATATGAGATACAAAGATACCGTCTGCTGGCAAACTTTGTCTATTCATCACAAGAGTCATCGGCCAATTAAGAAGTGGTGCCACTCAACTCTCAATTTGTTATAGTGAGAAAGACCAAGAAAAAAAAAAAGAAGCTTGTTTTGTAGGAAACCAATCCCAGGGAAGTGGGAAATCACCCAGCGGCCAGACTATGCTTGACTAACATATAGGAAGTCATCTTGAAGAGCTAAACAAAAATAGTCTTGCTTTTTTCAGGCTCAAGAACATGGCCACAACTATCTAGAAAAATATATATCTATAGTTATATCTACCTAGCCAATTTCATCCTTCAATGTTCCTACTTCTGGATCTTTTTAAGGTAAAAAATATATACTTTTTTCCCCTTTCCCTTGAAAAGGCCCAGCAGACCAACAAGGTAACTTTGAAATTTATGGGCCAAATTTTCCAGACCATCAGATAAGTTCAGTGGAATAAAAAATACTTATTTTCTTGTTAGTGCTTTAAAGAAAAATGTTCTTAAATCAAAACATACTATATTCTTAAATCTAGCATAAAAACAAGTCAGCAATCCAGAAAGTATCAGGGATTTGTCTAATTATGATAGCACTGTATTATGATTGAATTTTAATTTATGCACAATTGAATCATCATTTTTAAAAGTCAACATTTTAAAAAGTACAACCACAACAGTTCTCAAATACTTTTTAAAATTAAAATAATAATTAAAAATCAGCAATAGTTATAAGATGGCTACTTTTAGAAAGTCTGTTCTAAGGATTGCAATTTCTAATTAATGGGTATACAGTTGTGTGAGAGAGCCTGAACATAGTAATAAAATATGTTTAAACATTAAAACTTTACAGCCCCAAAGGTTCTTTGGGAAAATTCTTCCTTAAAAAAATTATCCTAACTTTCTCAAATGTCTGGAACTAGAAATTTAACTCACAAATTAATACAAAAGTAAAGAAGTTCAAAAGAGAACATTAATCATGAAAGCAATATAGGCAATCCCCAGATGCCACATACTGTATTAGGAAAGTCTAAGTGATATGATCTAGATTACAACGTACTAGGAAAGTAAGTCAATCTATTTAAAAAAGAATGGTATATAAATCTTTTATAACCATTTATATATGTACCCTTGATATGGTGGGCCTACCATGTAGGTAATGCTTCATTCTACATAGAACCTATTCTGACCCATCTATGATGTGTCTTGATTAATATGCATCTTAATTGGGCAGTTTTACCTGGACATTGAGGTGCAATTTCTTCAAACGTTTTATCAATGTGTCCTTATTGCATGGCACAAAAGCTTCAAGATGAGAATACACTCCACTGCGGACAGTAGGATTCAATTCCTGTAGCTGCATCTCAATACTGATGAACAGAAAACAAATTCACAACTAATAAGGAACACATGGACAAGACTCTAGATTACTGCCCATTCTCAAGCAAGTTCACATTTTCTCTATGGAAAAAATCTGAGAATTGGCTGTTATAGGGGACAGTGCTTTCCTCATTTGCTGTTCTTTTTAAAAGACTCTGTGATTAATGCCAATGCTATAAATATGCTTCAACTAGTATAGGAATGTTAGATAAATATTATTATGACTAAATAAACTACAAAACCTGAACGACACAAATATATTCTTCAAAAATAAACACTATTCTAATACTTCTATGGGCTACTTTAAAAACCTACTCATTGCTCAAGAAATTTATTCTACTAATCTTAATATTTTTCTCAAAAACAAGATAAGCACTTACTCAAGCAAGATATTATTCATGTCCTGTGTAAAGAATTTCTTTCTGCCTTCTTCATCAAAGAGCTTGGCAGCCTAGAAACAACAATAAAACTGCACCTCAGCCCAGGAATTTTGATAATTTAACTATCAAATTGTGCTCTATTGTAATCGTAAGATATTTTCACAGTCTTTAGAAAAGCTACTACAGTTTGTATCATATAATTATTCTAGAATACCACAGCTACTATGCCGTCACTACATATAATGCTGGGAGATAAAATTATTATATTTGAGAACTGTAATAAAAATAATTGGCTTCTAATTAAATATATTGGCATAGCATATAAGATATTTGATATCCTTCTAATTCTACTTTATTTTAAAAACTTACTAAGCTTTTCAATTGTGTTTGAATATACAATTAAGATTAGATTATCTAATACATTTTTAAGTGCTATGGTTTCTGCAAAGAATAGCTAAAAGACTAAATGTATAGAAGAACTTACTGCACATTCATATCGAACAAGATGTTTTCTAAAACCTAAATCTATATAATAGAAGAAATATAAATACCATATATCTTTCAAAATCTCAAGCTATGTTGACATGAGTATTTATGATTCAGGATTAAGTTAATGTATATTTAAAAGTCAGTCACAACAGCATATGAGTTCTAGATACCAAAATGGAATATTACATCTTTCAATGAAATTTTCATTAAACAGGAAAATATAGATCCCATCACTAGGCTCTAATACACAATGAAAACTTGTGTTACTGGAATTTCAGTCATACAAAAACAGATGGATGCCTATAACTTTGGGAGCATGTATATTGATGATTAAATGATTTCATACAGGCCATCAATGAACACTGCTAGGGACTGCCATTTGTAGTCTCTCAAAAGAAATAACAATATTAGAGCAGAAGTCCAATATTTGAACATTTAATTCAATTCATATGAACTATATATATCTTGAAGTTATCTTAACATTGCTTTAAATAACATTGACTTTAATAGTTCTTCAAAAAGCCCAGTAATAAAGATATACTTACAACTCTAAGGTCTTCAATACGCTTTTCTAGATGTCCTGGCAGACCTTCTGGGAGGGCAGGCACTTGTTTCAGTGTCAGGACCTCAGCAGTATGTGGGGGCTGGGTGACACTTCCATTTTCCCCTATAGGCTCAGATACTGGGCTGCCATTAGAGGTACCATCAAGCAACCTATCAAAATCAATGTCTCCCAGCATCTCCAGGGCACTTTCAGCTTCCTGCAGGAGCTCACGTTCATTAGTGCTGCCAAAAATAGAAAGGACTGGATCTGTAATGCTGAGATTCAAGTCAGACACATCATTACCACCAATGGCAGGGGCAATAGGAAGTTTATTGGGTGTAGAACAGGTAGCTGCTATTGTGGGATTCAGGTTAACCTCTTTTTTTTTAAAGGCTTCTTTCTCTTTCTGAAATTTCCGGATCATAGCAGCCAATGAAAAAGAGTCCTTGTATAGCTTTTTCTTCTTCTTTTCAGATTTGTGTGAATTTAACGCCATTACCCTGTAAATAAAACAATATAAATGGATATAATTAAGCTTCTCCAACTTGGATCTCAATTAATAAAAATATGAAAAGTTCATATTAGTTAATATTAGAATATTGCAGAATATATAGATTAAATTACAGGTAGTCCTTGCTTAACGACTGCTTAACAATGGTTCAAAATTACGATGGCCTGAGAAAGGTTGCTTTATGGCCCATAAAGCATTTCCGACCATTGTAAAATGTTGTGCCACCCTCCTCCCCGGTAACATGGTCACATTTCAGGCACTTGGCAACTGGCTTGCATTTATGACTGGTTGCCAAGCGCCCCATGATCATGTGATCGCCATTTGCAATCTTCTTTGCCAACTTCCCCATTGGAAGGAGGTTTCAAGCAGAGGAGATGCGGCAGTATACAGGAATGAAGCTCAAATCCTGAAGATTTGAGCTCTGTAATTGCCCACCACTGGGAGGTTCCCCCTCCCCTTTCAGTGGTGGGCAAGCACGGACCTCAAATCTTCAGGTGCTCTGTTCACCCCTGAAGGAGGCAAGGGGAAAGAGGGCAGAGCGAAAGAAAGAGGCCGGAGCGAAAGAGTGACAGCTCTTTTGCTCCATCCCCTTTCTTTTGCTCCGTCCTCTTTCCCTTCCCCTCTCTCAGCAGTATGTCTGTTCACTGCTGAAAAAAGGGAAAGGGAAAGAAACTGGAGCGAAAGAACTGTCTTCTGAAGTGGAGCTGAAATCCTTCAGCAGACAGTTCTTTTGCTCCATCCGCTTAACGATCTGGGAGATCGCTTAATGCAACTGGGAGTGCCTGGTTTGTAGTCATTCAACAAAGCGGTTGCGTGGGCGTCTCACTTAATGACTGCTTTGCTCGACGACTGAGATTCCAGTCCCAATTGTGGTCACTAGGCAAGGGCTACCCATATACCAATGAATAGTAAACAATACAAAGTGATGAATATAAGCACAATGTAATCTCATTTTAAATGATTTCAGAATATTGACTGTAATTAACTTGCTTCAATCCACAAACCCTTGAGTCTGGAAAAGTACAAAATGATACGTGAACATTTCTTTGTTATCTTATAATAAACTGATGCACATAATATAGTACTATCATTTTAGTGAAAGTATTTTAAAAGATGTGTCAAGAAAAAAATACTGAAACTCACTTATATTTATGTTTGTTCTATTGAATTAAATAACTCACAATGCTATATATACAAATAATTCAATATTTTTTCCAGTTTAACAAAATATATTATGTCACAAGAAAATACTAACAAACTTACCCCAACTGCTTAGTAACTTTAATTTTCCGAGGCTTTTTCTCCTTCTCTGCCTCTTCCTCTTTTCGCTTTCGTTTCTTCATGCTACGGTCGTCACCATCTTTTAGTTTACCTAACTAAAAATTTAGGGAGCAGGGAGGAAAAGGAAAAGAACAGAGCATACAACAACTTTAATAATTAAATGATTATTTTAAATCTGGTTAAATAGATTATTTAATTATAAGCAAAATCTGGACATTAAAAAAAAGTCTATTAGCATCCACAACCAGAAAGTTTTCATTTGGATTCCTGCATTGAGCAGAGGATTGAATCTGAAAGCCTAAATGCCCCCCTCTATGATTCTACTCACTTTAGATGGTTTATGCTTTTTGCTTCCTGTAAAATCCTCCTCTTCAGAATCAGAGGCTTGGCGGAACTGCAAAATTCCAGTATTAATGTAGAAGCCTCCATATATAGTAGTCAAGGATGCAGGAACTAATTCATCATACTGCAAAGAATATGGAAGGTTTAAAAATTAATTATTAATATGCATTAATATAAAACAATGCATTTGCTTTATTACAATGCAACAGAAAGGATATTAGACTATTTGAATATGTCTGTACTCCTGATTAGTGTAAGACACAAAGCATGTACTTCTGCAATGATTTTCTAATTCAGCGCTGATAACCCTATATCTACCCCAAAAATACAAGAGTGTCAAATTGTGCAAAGATTTACAACACGGAAAAATAAATTACAATTTTAATAATGGTATATTGTTTTTCATGTTTTTTATATTTTATAAATTAATCTAAATAGCTCCTTTCAGGAGGATTTCAGGGAGGACAATAATTAATATTAAAATTGGTATTTGAAAAAAATTGTTTCAAAAATGAATTTTCAAGAATCATTCTTTTTAATAGATATTCAAATTCATTTCTAATGTCTGCCATTTTCTGATTAATACTAGGAGCTATGGGCAAATATAATCATGTAACTATTTTTGTTAATAATTTATAATATATGCAATTTCATCCTCATTTCTGTCCTTTATAGGTAAGTGTTGATACAGTATGTAACAAAAGGATATAAATATAAATAAATATAAACATCACACTTATATTGTAAAGATGAACATCTACTATGAAGTATACTATACCAAACAGAATGGAATTTACTTCTATGTAATCCTGCCTGATTGTAGCGTAAGACGTCTATCTCTGTCTAATTAAATAAGGTATCTTATATTTTAAAATGTTTTAATGCTGCTTCCCCAACATATTTAATAATTATTTGAATTACAAATTTAAAATGTATTCCTGTTTCCATTGTTTAACAATAATTTGATGAAGAATAAAATCACGTCAACTAAAAAAATTAAAATACAATTGTAGTTAGTCAGCCAAACATGCACTGAAATTAAAAGTATTTTACAAAGCAGATGGAGCATTTCTTGATTCTTCTCTCAGACTGTTCCAAAATCCTATTCCTAATGCAGGGTCCAAGTGTAACTGAGGCACAGACTGGGATATGAAGTACTGAACCTTTTCTTAAAATACACAGCTTTAAATAATCATCCAAAAATACTTGATGTATTCCCATCTCTAAACTGGAGAAAGCCTGTAAATGGCTAATGCCTAGAAGTGAAATCACCTCAGAATATCACATATACATTTAAGCTCCCAGAGGAAGGTACAATATCCAGATAAGATTTACTCACAGCTTCTGAATTATCAATGAAAGGATCATTTACATCATAACCAGAGCCCATATCTATCAGATCTTGGGCTCGGTCCTTCCGGTGTTTGTGGATCTTTCCACCCTATAAAATAATATTGATAACTTAGACAAAGAGTTATTTACCACAAAAACATGAAGCAGATAAGTATTATAGGGTAACAGAAAAAGGTTTCAACAATCATTCCTGCTTGGTTCCTCTGGTGAGTAAGACAGCAAGGATTTCACCACGGGAAATAAGTTAAGGCCTACATTTGATCTGAGAATCCTGTTTTTTTGCTCTTATAATGAATCAGTCTGAATGCAGAGCCTGAAATTGGCTTAGATTATTTTAAGAATGGCCAGAAATTGGGTTTAGACATAACACAAAAATTTTTCTTGCAGGAGGGTTCTTGCCTTCTGTGGGATGAATGAAGGGGGAATGATTGGACAGCAAACACAGTGGATGTGTTGCCATGAACTAAATAAAAAATCTTTAAAAAGCTGAATTTGTCACTTAGTGTAACAAGTATTAGAAACAACCACAAATTATCAAGATTCATGCCTGTAATAGTAATAATTTCTACAGATTTTGCTCACATATTTTGTTTCAAATTTCTTAGCCAGCATTTCTACTTCATGTCTCTCATGTTCTTCATTATCAAATGGGTCTTCAATGAGAGATTTTTTCTGATGAGAGAAAACAAGAAACCAGTCACTTTTAATATTTAAATATGCAGATTATGATGAGGAACTATCACCTGTGACTGCAGCTTTAGACGGAAAAGCAATCAGAATCCCTAACAAGTTTAGTTTAATATCTAACGCATCAGAAGTAAACTAAACAACTCTATTTAAAATAAGCCCTTTTGGAATCAGCAAGACATGCTAATCAGAAATATACAATCTGTGACCCCAAAGCTTCAGATATAGCCTCCAAAACCCCAAATGCTAATGCCACATTGTAATTTTAATGCAAGAGACTAGAGAAATCATTAAATACATAGGGAATAATATTAACCGAATTTAATAAATGCACCTGTTTTTTGTCATAGTCCCATTTCATGCCATTCAAAGCTTATGATTCAGTTCAAAAAAGGTTCACCATTGCTTTAAAGTATATGTATAAAAGGACTTAGCAAAATTTAATGCTCTTACCAACTTAACACACAGTATTTCAAAACACCACATATATTAAATAAGTTAATATGTTGACAATAAAATATGTGAAGACTAAGCTACAACTCTGCAAACTCTGAGAAGGAAGAGATCAAGTCAATTTCATAAAATTTCATAAAACAGTGCTTCTTAAAGTGTGGTCCAAGGGTATCCCTGGGTATCCCCCAAGACCCTCTCAGGGATCCACAAAATCAAAATTATTTGGCAGATATTGAAGATATTTGCAAAAATTTGAAATAATATCACTCTTCTCATTATTTTTTTGTTAAAAAATATATAGTTTTTTCATGAAAAATATTTTATGTTAATATCTAATAGGCTTACATAATGAAATGTGGGATGGGGGGAAGAGATGCTGCCTAGGGGATGATCAGATAAAAGGGGGAGGAGCCTGCAACTGAGTAATGGGCAGAGAAAGAAACTTAGAAAGGATCTGTCCCAACTTATCAAGTGGAAAAAGAGACGGCAGGTTGTACTTTGACTTGCAAGATTCTGTTAATGGTAGACTAACAATAAAGTAGAGGTAGCTCACCTGGCTGTATTTCCTGTCTGGTTTACCTGGGAGGACTGATAGTTTAATATTGTTATTTATATTTATTGAATGTGTCAATTTTAATTTTTAATATGGTAAATATTGATAAATATTATCCATACAAACAAAAACACTTTTGGGGCCCTCCATAATTCTGAAAAGTGGGAAGGGGTCCTGAGAGCAAAAAGTCACAGAAAATAAAATTTGAGACATCTGAAAATTATTAATTTTTCTCCTATACTCAAATATTACTTCAGAATATAATCCAATCATTTAAACGGTTTATTCCAGATTAATATTCATCTCAATTATAGAAATTAGAATTATTTTCAACAAATATTATAGGTAGCTATTTCCCATCAAGACAGAGTTCGTTCACTAATTTACTGATGACACTGGAAAATTGTGATCACTATGCAAAATATTGCTTTCCTGTACATTTGCATCTCCTGCAGCACAGTGACTCCAAAATACTTTAAATAGACATTCTTGTTTCCTACATGGCATTTCAAATATGGCATTTATCTAGTAACAGGCAAGAGCCATTTAAAAAACAAACAAACTCATATTTATTGTCTACAAAACTGTATTAGAGGCTGCGTAAAGATTCTTCTTTTTAATCAAAAAGCATCAACAATTACTTCTGATCTAATGTCATGAAATCGGATTACAGAAATCTTAATTCTAAAAATACTACTTTCAGTAAGTTCAATTGTATTCAAAAACTGGGCAAAAATAGAGATTCTTTGGCTAATCTCTTCTGTGGCACCATTGAACGTTATAGCAAAGACTGGGTGTCAGTAGATTAATGCAGTATAGCAAGTACCACTGGAGATGTAGCTGAGTGAAGCTAAACTGACATCATGGAGGTCTAAGTTTGTACTCCTATAGATTGTTAGAGGACTTTAACTCAACCATTGCATAAAATACGAGCAGATTTATCCATGTGGCATCCAGCAGATGAGCACAAATTGCTCTAGCAAACATTTATCCTCTCTTCTCATGCCCTCTAAATGCCTCTATTTCAATCACCTTAATTTAGAAGGAAGCAGTAGCCACAGTTCTGTTCAGTGATTTTTTCCAATTTTACAGACATGGTAATCATCATATGAAGAACAGAAAGGAATGTTAATCCTTCCCTAGCTCCTTCTTTTTAAAGAAATAGGAGAACTGCCGCTGGACATTTTGTACTTCATCTTGAACTTTTTATTTCCTATTCATACATCACAAAAAGTATCAAGCGGATGAGTTAAAGCAGCAACAAAACATGGCTACAGATTATGGTTAATGCACCTTCATTACCATGTCACATTAATTCACCCATTCTGGGGAGATGGGCGGGGACAAGTCTATTAAATAAAATAAATAAAAATAAATTCAAGACGCAATTTAGTATATAAGAATACAGTCATTCTCACACTAGTTTAAAACCTAATTGGCCAGTTCAGATGTTATGTCAAACTATTATTGGAGGACTAGACTATTAAGGACTGTTACCTCCAAATTGGGAGCTGTATGCCTCCAAATACCACTTGCAGAACAATGGCAGGAGACAGGTACATCTCTATTTTCTGCCTGCAAATACCCTAGAAAGATCATTATGAGAAACAAAATGCTAGACTAGGCCTTGGGCTCAGCTAGCAGGCTGTTCTTATAATGTTAGGCTGCTATGTATGGAAAGGTGCTAAAGTGAGCCTTCCCACTACTATTTCAGATGTGGTAATAAAGCAATTAGACGTTTTCACTTCTATTTATCTTATTTATCATAGTTTAGCATATTAAAACTTTATTTGTTGAAACAAGCCAGATTAATAATCCACAGCTAACTTGTTTTAAACAGACTATAACCACACTTAGAAGAAAGGATGGGCCCTTCTCATTCTCCAAGCACATAAACCTAAGTTTAATGGCTGTAATTACTCATTACACTGTCACAGAGTGTAACCATGACCTATTGAATGAGAATCAGTCCTGCAGTTCAGTGACTATATATGACCAAATGTTGATTGCTTACTACCTTTATTTGCTTTTCTCATCAAAGCACAAAAAACCCCAAATCCTATGGCCTATTTACATATTATGCTAAGCTACAATGTCAGCCAGTAATCTAACAGTGCTTTTAAATTAATTTACTGCTCCTTAAACCATGGTTTAATGTGAATCCAACCAGATGTGAATCACATAAATCACTAACCTATGGTTTGCTTAACCATGGTTTGTTGAATAAACCAACATTAGGTTTATACAGGACACTAAGTCATAAGCCAGTAACAATTGTTGCAGATTTATTTATGTGCTTCTGTATTTAACTATGTTAATATACTATTATAGAACTTATACTATGATTTTTAAAAATTGCTTTCTATCTCGAAATGGAAGGAAACCATTTTTAACAACAGGTCAGAGAAGTGACTCTAACAGAAAGGGTTGAATATGGGAAGAAGAGAATTATGATGTAATTTTAATGAGGGAGGAGAGAGGAAAAGTTTGTAACTGCTGTGAAGAAGATGGGAAGTCGCTTCTTTATATATCTTTTCTTTTTTTTCTATTCGTATTTTTCACACTTTTCTTACCTTCTCACTTCACATTTTTTTCTTTTGTTATCTTTATTATCTCTGTGAAATTTAGTCACTATATATGTATGTGTGTGTATGTGTATGTGTATATGTATATAGACTAAAAACAGCAAAAAAGATTTGTGGACCACATGTACCTCTGAGGACTCAGGGTGCCCACCCATCCAATAAATGATGCCAAAAATTACCTTATTTAAATCAACCAAGATTGTTTTAACATTAAAACAAAATAACTAACTTCTGTATTCCTACTATAAAACAATATATAGTTATAATATTTTTGAACATTCACATTCATGGCAAGCAAACAACTATGTTATTTTGTCATACATCAGTGAAAAAAGAAAAAAATACAAATATGGAACTTCCACATGAATCATTTCCACAAGCATGAAACTAATTGAAATGCAACCTTAATAACAGTATGATATGTTGGACGGTGTCCACGGCTTTACAAGAGTTCTCTAGCCTCACCTTCCCAAATAGAAAGAATAGGGCGTAGACAGAATCCACATGGATAAAATTAGGGACACAATATTGTGTATATACCATTTCTTTTGTATTTACCAAGATTTTTCCTCTGTTATACTGACTGTTCCCACCTGTTTAATATTATCCCAGGATTAAGACAGATATATGACTAGTAATCCTACAAAATGTGGCCTGAACAATGTGGGCATACTTGCATCTCTAGTGAAGAATTATCACTACTTGCAGCTTTTATTATGATCTCTTGTAATACAAATCTCACAATACTCAAATATACCTTCAAGCAAAACATCCAAATTGCTATGAACTTATTGTTGGCCTGCAATATTCCAAGAACAATGGCTTGCAGCAAAGGATAAACTATAGCAGCAAAAAAAAAAAAAAAAACCAGAGAGAGCGAGCACGCGCGCAAAAGAGGATACTCCATTTCATATTATAACAGCAGAAGATAGGATGAGGGACAATTGGCAGAATTCTAAATACCAACCAACACTATACAAAGAGAAACAGATTGTTTAAAAAAAATCACAGAAAAAGTTACTATTTCCTAGTGATAAATTGTAGGTAGTACAGTGCTAATTCTGGTAATAGCAGCAGCAGTAAATTGAGTACTATTATATAGTATGGTGCTACAAATCAGAACTTAACACCTAAAAAAATTATTTTGTCACTAAATGACATCTCTTTTCAATGGCTCCATTGTTAATCCATAAATACCAGAATAATATATTACTTTGCTCACATAGTAAACTTCTCTATAAGTGAAAAAATAAATCAGAATATTTCAATAGCTTTAGAACCTCAGCAACATAAAAGGGACTGTGGATCATGTACGGTGATGGACCATTTCTCAAAAAAGCTGCATTAGGCCCCAGTTTCTATGAATTAGGCTGCATCAACATTTCTAAATTCATTATTGGTGCTAAATTCACCATAGCACTATCAAAAGTAGCAATTAAAAATTCCACTATAAGTAGCCAAATAGTGTTAGATATTTAAATAATGCAAATTCGTATTTGCCTCCAGATCTGAATGAAAAAAAATAAGTTTACAATATCGTCACTGAAATAATTAGGACACCCAATAATTCTACTGTAGTCATCAATTTCAGTAGAAATGGGCAACATATGGCAGTGTTGTTAACCCCATCTCCCATAAGCCCTAATTTGGCCAAAGATAAGGGCCAATGGGAAATGTAATTCAACAATACTTAGAGGCACATCATCATCCCTAGTCTAAGAGATAACAGTGCTAAATTCCTCAATATGGACTGGACAAAGCAGTAGTATAGGCCTACTACTGTGATAATCTGGGATAAAGTAATTTAGATATCCTCCCCTATTTTACATATATTAAAATGGAGCATAGCCAAAATCTTTTATGAAGACTGAAAGGATATCTAACACTGTTTTATTAAAACAAAAGTAGTGCTTCTTTTAATACCAACACTTGTAAGATTCTCTATCCCTCTGGTTCATAGAACCATTCTACTAATCTTGAATGTTCCTCAGTCTCCTGCCAAATAATAACTTTTAATATCACATTCAAAACTTGTACAATAGATTCAAGATACTGAGATCTAGATAAAAATGTCTTTTAAGAACTCACCACCAATTTACATGATGGTTACAACTAACCAATCTCAATATATGTTGATTTAACCTGAACCTCCAGGTTTTCAACCTAATGGTTACTTACAAACCATTTTCACAAATTTGCTCATGAACTATTTATGAAAATATCAACAAGTGAGTTTTTCCAATATCCTGTGTCTGTAAAAGAGAAAAATACTGACCCATCTTTGTTTGCCTTCACACCACTCCTATACATATATACAGTATATATATAATCTACAGAGTTTATGCAATGCATAAACTATGTACAGGTATAAGAGTGCTTGCAAGGTATATTGAAAGAACACTGCAAATAAAAATCACAGGGATATGCTCATTCACAACAGAAAACTAATTTACTATAACAAAGTCTTTCTGGCACAGAAATAATTACTTATTTACTTGCTTTGGGCTCTTTTTGTATCAAAGGGTCTTCAAAGACCAGTAGAAAATCCAGCTCCTATAGGTTCACCATCTTTTGACTGAATCAGAGTAGCAATTTGGTCTTATATCCAGCCTGATAGTTGTTTTTTTAAAAAATGCTAAAACCCTTACTTCCTCATTATTCCCTTTTTCCCCACACAGCACTCAAACTAAGGACTACACTAACACAACCATATAGGACAAGATTGACAAAACAGGAAGCAGAAAGGGTAGGTAAAGAAGAACGAGTGGTTAGCAGGTCCAGTACCCGGGCCTTGCCACTCCATAGCAACTCGGGATAGCTGAACTCCACGCAGCTCTCTTCCGTGGGATCTTTCAAGATCAACTCCAAGCGAATCGTCTGATCCAGTGGTGGCGGCGATTCCTGCCGGTTGTTCTCGCGATTTAGCTGCTGGTGAGACGACAGCGGCGGTGCTTCTGGCCTTGGGGACTCTCGGTGGGGTGGCAGCTGCTGTGGCTTTGGTGTCGGCTCAGGCCGGCAGATCTCCCGCGGTAATGACACAGGATGAGACTCTGGCCGAGGACAAGATTCGAAAGGTTGCGGTGGCGGTTCTGCCTGACTGTTATCATAGTGGTGATGGTGCTCCTGCTGATCTGGCAGTTTCAGGCCCTCACGCGCTAATGGCTGCTCTGCCTCGCGGCCCCCTCCAGTCTCTCGCTCTAGCACCGGAGACTCACCTTCTCGTCGCCTCACGGGTGACAGACTAATGAACGGCACCCGGCGCGGCTCCGCCATCATCCACCCCCCCACCCCCCTTCCCACCTGTTCGGTGACCCTCCCTCACCACCCACAACCCCAGCTCCTCCTCCGCCCGTTCCCCCCCTTAACCAGGTCAGAGTACCTCCCCTCTTCCCCACTAGCCTCTCCTTGCCGATAACATCGCTGCCATCTTGGAGCCCCCCCACGTAAATAGAAGCAGGCTACTAGGGCACGCATGCGTAGAAGCAGGGCCCGCCACGGACGCGCTCCTATACGTCATTGTTCTAGCTCAGGTTTTTAGTACGTCACCGCGATCGCACGTTGAGGACGACATGGCCCCGCCCACAGTTGCCTTGGAAATGTGTACGCCGTGCCATCCTGACTTTTAAAAAGTCTTCGTGAAGAGCTCCGAATGAGACCTTTTTTCTGCTGTTGGTGGCTCGGGACAAGAGTTAACATCCTCAGGAACGCAGCGCTAATGCGGCAGCTACCAAGCACATAGTCATTTCTGTTCATAGGTTATTTTCTTTTCTGCTTTACAGCAAATTAAGATGGCATAGAACCAGACATCCACGTGCTGGGCAGAAATATTCCCAATAAAGAGAACAAGTTCTTTCTGGTGAGGCCAGTGGCCAAATTCAGATTCATTCATTCATTTTCTGTCCTCCATATCAAGGGGGTGATGGGGTGGGAGTGGAGGGAATCAAGATTCCTTTGCTAGTTATTAGTAATGATGACAAAAGAATCATCAGACCCGATGAGCAGCTGAAGGCTGAATAGAGGGATCAGAAGGTCTTTGGTAGATTTCAGACAATGGTAATTCGAAATATTTCTCTAAATTGAGTGCAGTGCTTTGACACAACAAATGCTTTTTTAAAAAAACAAACTTTTTGACTTTATAGTCATGCCTTCTAACAGAAGTCTTATGTCATTACCTTAATATCCCAAAAAATGTCAGTATATTTTTGAAGATCACATAGCCAGTTATCTTCATTCATCATTCCCCAAGATGTTAAGATGTCTTACAAAATTGTATTTTAAGTTCTGAAATTATCTGACTTTAGGCATTCCTACATATGTTGGCTGAACATCAATCCAATATTATCCTTGATCTTTGTTATTACAAATGCCATCTTACAAGAGATTGATTTTTTTAAATACTGAAGGAGCTTAAATCTCAAATGTTTTTCCTGTAATTATATTCTGTCAATGAAATATGATTTAGCCACAAACTTTTTAAGTACTAATATCACAGTGGCAAATATATAGTTCTCAATAAATATGAAAAAATACCACTTATTTTATTATGTAAAGTACCTGAAAAGGTTTTGAGAGTTCTAGTCCTTAGCCCATGATATTCTTCCCATTTAATATTAATTTCATTTAACATGACATGAACTAATTATGAAAACACTGTCTTTTGTTGTTTTTAAGATGTAACTCAAAGAAACTGACCCTCCTAGAGAGTATTAATTTTCTTGTTTAGTAAACTTGAGCTGGAAGCAGTGCAAAACTTTTCAAAAACTTAGACAAAGCAGAAGCTACAGTGCATTCGGAAAGTATTCAGACCCCCTTCACTTTTTTCAATTTTGGTATGTTGCAGCCTGATACTACAATCATTCCAAAAAAAAACTTCTCATTAATCTACACTCAATACCCCATAATGACAAAGTGAAAACAGAATTTTAGAAATGTAAATTTATTAAAAAGGAAAAACTGAAATATCACATGTACTTAAGTATTCAGACCTTTACACAGTACTTTGTTGAAGCACCTTTGGCAGCAATTACAGCCTTAAGTCTTTTTCAGTATGACACGACAAGCTTTGCTCACCTGGATTGGGGGATTTTCTGCCATTCTGCTTTGCAAATCCCCTCAAGCTCAATCAGGTTGGATGGGGACCATTGATGGACAGCCATTTTCAGGCCTCTCCAGAGATGTTCAATAGGGTTCATATCAGGGCTCTGGCTGAACCACTCTAGGACATTCACAGAGTTGTCCCTAAGCCATTCCTGTGTTGTCTTGGCTGTGCGCTTAGGATCGTTGTCATGTTGTAAGGTGAACCTTCGGCCCAGTCTGAGGCCCTGACTGCTGTGGAACAGGTTTTCATTGAGGATATCTCTGTACTTTACTCCAT